TTTTTACTAATCTAGAAGAGGAAACTTTAGCCAGTTTATTTTTTAACTAAAGGTTTAATTATTTGCTCCTTCTCATGATTTGACTCTTACTGGTACATGAGTCAACTTACCCCGGGCATACGGAATATTTCAATGAGGGACACAAACGCAGAAACGAACTGGAGATGTATACAAGATTCAGGTTAGCTACCAGAAAAGGAAAGACAATATAAAATGTGTAAGAAGGAGGAGGAAACACTACAACATGTCCTAGAAAAATGTGAGCACACGGGAAAAGAGCAAGAAAGTTGGATACACCACATCACGGGCCCAGGAGCTCATTCAAGAATGTGGAATATAATATTGACAAGGAAAAAGAAGATAAAGGAAAGAGAAAAAACGAAAAGCACGATATTGACACGACACTTACAAAAAAAGAAGAGAGAAGATGAAGCTTCTTGTCTGACTTTTTTGTTGTTTTTTGTTTCGAACACACGTTGCTGTTGTTAAGCCCATCGCTAATAATCCTTTAAATATCAGATCATCATATCAGAAAAATAAGTGCTACTTCGTTATTGTTGTCTTTTTCTAGTGCAATCGTATGACCCTGATGACCTAACCGCCTTTTTTTTATTATGTGCGGCAGTAAATAGTATCTTAAATTACTTTTACTTGAATCATTTCTCAGTTCTATTTGGAGCGATTAAATAATAATGTTCTAATGCTTACCTCCAATGGATATTTACTAACTTCTTTCCGGTTTTCAGTCCTTGTTCTAGAACTATCACTAACTATCACATTTATCCAACAAACCATTATCACTTGCACTCTGCAACAAAAAGAAAAAAGGTTAATTAAAGAAAGGACTAAATTATCAATTCCAATTTATCATATAAACAATAATACATAATGATATAGAAATACCTAGTTTTCTTACAACATGCGAGCAACTCCAGCATTTAATAAAATAATAAACCCATTAGGAAAAGACTATTTTCTTGTTATCCTTTGAGACAGTACAATTTCTTAAGCAGAAATTTATAAATACAGTAGAATCCGCTTATAATAAAATTGAAGGGAAATGACAAACACGTTACAAAACGGGCTTCATACAAAGCATAGTCTTAGAAAATAAACGACTTTCTATTTTGGTTAGTTATTTAGATTAATAGAGAGAAAAGCTACAAATTGTATATATTTATTAACAGAAAAAGACAAAGAACGAGGAATTGTAACATCAATATACATGAAAAGGGTCAGAAAAATGAGCGAAAGTGTTATTATTAATCATTTGGGTCACTATAGCCGAATATGATTTCTTGAGAATCAGACATAATAAACGATATGGCATTTTAAACGGAGTCATTATATCCTAACTTTCCTATAGAGGATTTAATANCCTAACATAAAAACAAAAATCGCAAATAAATAATCTACAAGCCACCCTTGGAAGCCACATTAGAAAGCCCTGGAGTACGAAATGCTTCTCGTGTCTTAATAGCCCTGTTGCGCATTAAATTCGTTGTTCTTCCAATAAGGCATGCGATTTATGCGATAGCAGTGATCACAGGGGGCCGTAGTTAACAAATGACCATTAGTATTAAGTGCACGTGTAACGGAGAAATCGATGTCAAGATCTATGGGGCGCCTTAGGCATTAGTACCTATCAAGGATAACGCTGTTTTGTTCATCTTAACAACAAAATCCATAGCATTATCATGAATTATTAGTTATATTTTTCTTAAAGAGAGGTGAAACTGAAATTTTTGATTAAAATGTAGCAATTTGTGAGAATATGAATTAGTTCCTTTCCGTAACGATATATTAAAAATTGTATTCATGAAAAACAGAAACAGGACACTTAAGGGCAGGACTTGTTACTGGATACTATCCCAGTTACAAGTATCTTTTGGGTTTTTTTTTTAAGTAAATTTGGCTGGTACGACGGGACTTGAACCTTGACGAAACTCTTGTACAAACTAGAGTGGATGGATCGGCTTGCGAGTTTTGATGATTTAGGGAGCCGGACTATAGGTTCAAGCATAACGGGGAGATTCTTAAAGAGAAACCAGACTAAGACAAGTTCCTGAAAAAGGGCAGCAGCTCTTTCAGTACTCGGAGTGGTAGAGATCATGAGGATCGGTATGGCACTCTGTTGCACACTACTGCCAGCTAAAGAGGACCTTAATTGGTCCAAGAACGGTCTGAGGTACAGGGGTTTTAGTCGATAGGTTCGAGGAATTCTTCCTAGGGAATCCGACACTACCTAGTCGTACGGACGACTGGGTGTCTTTTGAAGATTTCGTCTCTTCCACGAAAACATAAAAAAAAACAGTCCTGCGATGTGGAAGGCAACGAGAAACCACCACATTATGATATCTCAAGAAAAACACACTGAAACTAAATGATGGCGTCCTCTTGGGTAATTAGCAGTATTAGCTTCTAGGAAGGAGTAGCTAGCTTTAAATGAAATGGATGCGGTATTGATAAAACAGTACTCTATCAAAATAAATAAAAGTAAAACAAACATACTGGTATGCAAGGGAAGAAAAAGTAGGGAAAAAGCAAATATAAAGAGAGAAGACGCAAAATTAGAAGAGGTGGCCGATTTTAGGTATCTGTCAGTCAGATACGTCAGAACGAAAGGAATAGTAAGGATATAATGCAGAGGATAGCGCAGGGTCGAGTCGCCTTCAATAAAAAGAAGTCACTTCTATGCTCGCGAACGATTAATTTAGAAATTCGGAAAAGGTTGTTAAAGGTGTATGTTTGGAGCACGGCGTTGTACGGGTGCGAAACATGGACAGTGGGAGCGGCGGTCAAGGAAAGGTTAGAAGCGTTCGAAATGTGGTGTTATAGGTGAATGATAAGGACACCGTGAATAGAGAAGACGTTTTAGAAAGAATAGGAGAACAGAAGACTCTATGGAAGTAAATAAGAAATAGGCGAGATAGGTTGGTAGGACACCTTCTCAGGCATGATGGTATAATCAGAGACATATTAGAGGCAGAAACGGGAGTTAGGAGGGGTAGAGGTAGACTTACATTAGATTACTGTTCGGAAATAGTTAAGGATATGGGTTGTTCTATTCAACAACTTAATTCAATTAGAAGATATTTTTTATCAACACCCCTAGTATGTCAGAGCTTTATGGACTTCATTAAACAAATTCGTATCAAAAACAAAATATTAAAACAGTCTATTTCGTACTATCGTAATTGTTAATAAACTCCATTATTACTAACGACCGTAGAGATAAACACTTACCACAATAAAAATAATTATTGCACTTCCGGTAATAATGCGACGATAAGCGATGGTAGGAATGAAATTTAATTTTTACTTATTAATCGCTTGTCATAAACCAACGATTTATTGCTGTTTGAATGACCAAAGAATTAAATTCGAGTATGTGAATTCGATAATCTGTCATTTACTTCGATTTTATGGTCATCGTAAAAGGTTATTTTTAGAGAATTTCTTTTAAGAAAGAGGTAGTTTTAATCACGTTTTAATGACCGTTTTTAGCTTTTAAGAAAGTTAGTGGGCCACACAAACAGTTGTATGTAATTATTACGAATGGACAGCATTACGTAAGCAGAAACATATCATTTTTACCACTCATTGTTCTTAGATTAATGAAATTGTACAACGTAATACGTAATAAAGAATACGCATTCTTGGTACTTACATTGACAAAGACATTATGAAGGAGATAGAAAAAGAAATTGTAATTACCAAATGGCAATATGTTACTGAAGGAAAATGAGGTAAAATTCTTTTTTCTGGAGAAGATATTTAAAAACGCAAATATATTCCTTTTGGCAATCATCATCATAGGGTCGTCAGTCCTAAGACTGGTTAGACACGCACCTCCACGATTTCCTATCCTGAGGTAATCTTCGCATTTCCCTAAAATTAGAATATATCACATCTTTAAGTATTTGTTAACGATAATCTAATTTAGGCCTGCCTCTACTCTTCTTAACTAACTACTCCTTCTTGTGACCATCTGATTTGTCAACTTATTTCGCTTACTTCTTATTGACATCCATAACGTCCTCAGCTTTTCAACTTTTTCTAATAAATACTTCTTCATTTGTAATCTTACCTATCCACGAGGGGGTTTTTAAGTTCGCGGAATGGGAGGTAGGAAGTGGAAGTAAAAGTACGAATTTATTTTTCTTTTTCAATATATTTACTTGCTACCCTTATACATTTCTCCGATCTTTCTTTCAATTAACTTACGTATACCTTAAAAGTTGGTCTGTGTTCTGTCGGAACTGCCTGCGACGCGCTGATGAGATCCAAAAAGATCGAAATCGCCATCCGCGTCTGGCAGTTTCGACAGAATACAGACCACTTCGAATTATTTTATTCGATTATGGTAACGTGCCTATCNGAGAGCGAAAAATTATCGATATTTCCTTTGGTAAATCGCAAAACACGATGAATACGCAAAAATTACTTCAGAATTTATCAGGGGCGCACTAGGAAGGAGGTGTTATGAATAAATGCATTTGTTACTTTTAAATTAGTTTTGTACTTGTAGCATTAAAAAACGCCAGGTGTAGATGGGATACAGGGGGAAATTCTAAAACATGCAGGGCAAGATGTTAGAGATCGTATGTTTAAGCTAGTTAGTCACATTGACGAAACGGGGAATGTCTCACAGGATTATAAACGTAACGTAGTAGTAACATTACCTAAATAGAGAGGCGCGGATAGGTGCGAGACATTTAGAATTAGTTTAACTCTCCTTGCGTCAAAAATCTTAACTAGAATTGTACAGGGGATGACGAAAAAAAGGCTGAAAGAACTATTAGGGGAAGTACAAGAGTGCGTACATAGGATTTGTAGATTTAGAAAAAGCTTTTGACAATGTTAAATGGGACAAGATGTTAAATAAACTTAAAAATGTAGGAATGAGTTACAAAGATAGAAGAGTGATACTTAGTTTGCATAAAAAGTAACAGGTAGTTATAGAGATGGGGCTGCAAGAGGTAGACCTAGATTAGATTACTGTTCGCAAGTAGTTAAGGATGTGGGATATTCTAGTTTTAGGGAAATCCGAAGATTAGCTGAGGATAGGAAAGAGTGCAAAGTCCAACCAGTTTTAGGACTGACGACCTTATGATGATGATGTACTAATACAATTGAACCGTTTATAATAACTCCGAATATAATGAAAATATCTATTATATTATGTCGCAACTACCAGAAAACTACAGCATTCTCAAATTATTGAATTCTGTTCGAAATTGGGTTGTAGCGAAAAAAATCCGTCCTTTTAGGGTCGTTTTGCTGCGATCGTGAACGAAGAAGCACGTTTGGGTCTCGAATGGGATTGTTCTGGTGAGTTTTCTCACAGAGCATTCTTATTAGCATCTAAATTGTATTGACAATTACGTGAACAAGATTCTGACTAGATTTGCGGGAAACATAAATAGTTGCGGTTGTGTGGTACATTATTAATAAGTCATATGTTAGAAATTAATTAGCATATTCGGTGTGGTTTTCTCTCTATGCCAATTTCACTGTCAATACAAGCCGAAATGGGGTGCAAGGGATGTTTTGTGAGGTGTAACCTCAATATCCAACTGTCAATGATGTGTGGTTTTCCTGCGGTAAATTAGATACCTTATTCATTTTGATATTGAATGGTCCCTAGTGTACTTCATTAACTTTATCTAGCGGTGTTTCTTCCAATGTCTTGGATGCGCGCTGGCAAAATCGTTGGTAAGGAGAAAAAAGCTCATTATACTCTCGGCTCTTGTTCATTAAACATACTTTTTCATACAGTACATGTCAAAAGTTTTGTTCAATCAT